CACATCGACACAGACAACATGGGAACCTTTGTCTTCAGTGTGTCATTCTAATTGTGCCCTTCAGACTGGGTTAGAAAAATGGAAATTTGAAATATGTTGCTGCATCGTTTGTGCACCAGCATTTGGGCAACTTATTAAGAAGATGTGATATGCAAACTTTTCACAAGGAGCCTACCACTGGAAGGAGAAAAACATCATCCCATCACACCCCTCAGAAAGTGGGACGCTCTCTTTCAGAATTTAAAAGTATTTGGGGGGGGTCAGGGATTTAGCTGAGCGGTATGTCAGCTACCTCAAAAACTTGGGATCCTGAGTTCAATCCCCAGAACCCGCAAAAAATATCTTTTGTTCCATTTGTGCTTTTTCATTTTGTCCACTCTCTCAAAGAACTTGGGCTGAGACCTTACACTGTTTTAAGGACTGAGGCCCCCATCGGAGGACTGTAGGGTCCCCTTTAGTTCACAGTCAGCCTGGACAGGTGGCCATGCTAAACTGTGAGTTGCCAACATTCCAGGAGTGTGTGGAGCTGACAGGAGGGTCTGGGTGGCTTGGGCAGCACCTGCCTGGGGTTTCCATGGTCACCGGCCTGCCCTCCTGGCCCAGCTGACACCTCTCTACTCCTACTCACCCCTGAGGGTTTTGGTGAGAGAATAAAAGAGTCCAGGGATTTTTAAAAAATTGTTTGAAAATATGCATAACATAAGATTTATCATCTTATCCATTTTTGTATTTTATTCTTTTTTTGGTACCGGAAATCAAACTCAGGACCTTGTGCTTGCGAGGCAGGCAGCGGAACCACTGAGCTAAATCTCCAGCCCTGTATGTTATTCTTTTAATGTAATTAGATTGTTAACTGCTACTTAGTATGTTTGCATCAGTGTTCATAGATAACTCATCTATGATTTTCTCTCATTGTGCGACTTGTCAAACTCCATTATCACTTCTGTGCTTGCTTTTTTCCCACTTTTTTCCCCACTTTTATGCCACTTTTTGGCATAAAAACCATACAACATGAAATGTGTTGTCTTAACCATTTTCAAGGATACGCTGCAGTGGCATAAGGGACATTCACATTGTTCTGGGACGTGTTCAACTCGCAACACTGAAACTCTGCGCCCGCTGCAGGGCTGGCTCCCCTTCCCTCCTCGCCGCAGTCCCTGGCAACCACCCCTCTCTTTTCTGTCTCCATTATTGAGCAGGGCACCTCCTAGAAAGGGACTCTGGCTGGGCTGGCTGATTTCACTCAGCGCGATGTCCCTGGGGATCATGGCGAAGTCGCAGGCGCCACAGTGGCCTTCCTCGCCGAGGCTGTGTGTGCACCACGAGCTGGCTGGCCCATGCCTTCCTCCGGCCGGCTTAGGGTTGCTTCTACCCTTTGGTGGTCGGATCTCTCCTGCTACAAGCCAGACGAACAAGTGTCCCTCCGAGATCCTGCCTCATCACCAGGAGGTACACAGCATGGCAGTGAGGCGCTCACACGCTGGTGTTCGTGGGCGCAGGACCGAGGTTCACCGTGAGTGGGAATTCCACCGAGGACAGAGCTGCCCCTATATCCGGGACTGGATAGGAAAGCGGAGGGTGTCTGTGAGGATCTCCCAAGGAAAACTTTCTCTCCAGATAGTCTGGGAGAGTTTGGCAACCGTGTCCGGATGGCATCCGTTCCCAGGCTCTGCTCAGGACCCTAAGGGCCCAAACCACAGTATCTTAGAAGCAGGCGCTGCTCCCTGCGGTGTGCTCGCCCGCGCAGGCCGCGCGCAATGTCCAGAGCTAGAAGCTGCACGGCCAGACCTGGGGGTCCTGGGAGAAACTGGCCTCTCTCCTGCCCCTGTCCCTGCACCCCGCCCCTGCCGTCCTCCCCTGTCCCGGAGGTGCTAAAGTTTCCGGGCTGCCTCAGGGGTGCGGGAAAGCGCCTCTGGGTTTATCAGAGTTCATCAGACCGTCTAACAGCAGGCGCCAGGCTGCCAGCATCGCCTCGACTTGAATTTCAACCCGTTTTCTCTGCTTAGCACCTCCCGACCCTCCTCTCCGCCCCCACATAATAAGCTCCATTCTTTCCCGGCAAGCTGGGCAGCGATAGCAGCCCGGGACCTACCATGTGGGGACAGGAATTGGCTCTGTTTAACCTGCTGGGGTTTTCCTCCCTTTCTTACCAGCGCATTCAGCTGTAATCCTAGCAGGCCCCGCCAATCAGCGGCGCCAAGGCGTTTGCTTCTGGGACGAACAATCCTAACCCAGCCAGGCTGATAACTCTGGCCTCGCTCTTGCGCTGACTGTGTGGTCACCAGTGGGTCACTGAGTGTGGTGCCCACCGTGACCCTCTGAGCAACAGAGAATAGGCTGGCCTCCTCTGCCCTCACAGGAAGGTCTTGGGAACCGCGTTGGCCTAAATGTTAAAGTAATCCAAGAGTTGTAGGAGAAAGGAGATCAAAACCAAAAACAATCCTGATACTGTGTCTAGAATAGAATCCATTTCCTAAGAAACACAGAGAGTAGGGAGTACACTGGGTGATGAGGGTCCTTCAAAGGGCCTGTGCGGGCAGCTTCAGGGAGGGACAGCATGGCTAGCGTTCTCCTCCTGGGGTTCGGCTTTTCTCCTTTCTTTCTTTGCCCTAGTTTTCATCAGATGCTTCAAGTGTGCTGAGCGAAAAAGACCCAGCGTCAGGAGGCAATCTGCCCAAGCCCCTGCTGGCTTTTGGGGCTCCTGCCCCTCAGTGACCAATAAGCTGCTCATTTCTCCTGTTGCCCTTGTCCAGTGTCTGCAGACCCCAGGACCGAGGGACCAGTACTAGAAACACTGGGCGTGAGCAAGCAAAACAGAGGGAGGGCTTGGACCGGAACAGCCTCCCAGACAAGGGGTGGGAAAGGAAAGAGTAGGGATGGAGACCAACTCGGCACACCCCTGCAGATCTTCAGGAGCGGGCCAGCGTTCTTGTGTGTGGCGGTTCCCAGTGTGACATCCTATCATTCGTCTGAGTGAGTTTCGGTGACCAAGAATGTGCGAAGGAGACTGGAACGTTTTTTGCAAGGATTTTACCTGTTGGGTCACAGCATTCTTAGGGCACCCTCCCTCTCTCCCTTCTCTGCAGCCATCAGAGGCCCTCTCACTTGCCTGTGGCTCCTCTGGAGGGTGTGTCTGCCTCTTTCCCTTCCTACTCCCTGCAAAGCTCCTCCTGAGGACTTGCTTATCTCCTCTGCAGAAACGGGGCAGGTCCCCAGCACAGCAGCCGGGCTGTCTGATGGAAAGAAAGGGAGTTCTGCCTTCTACCTCCTCAGCCGGAGGTTTCCTCCAGATGCGGCCCAGTGGTTCATTAATCATGTCAATAGCTGCATTGTCTGGGCTTCTCCCAAGAAGACCAGTGACATTTAAAAGCCACTCAGTATGCACGAGTTCAGAGTCTCTCTGTTTCTGTGCATCTAACCCCAGCTGGCTCTCCACCTCCCCACCCAGTTTCCCAGTGTTTCCCCATGCTTCGGGTCGCCGTGGGCCGAGACGTTTCCTAAGACATCCTTAATGGGCACCACTTCTAGGGAAGGGGCAGGGCTAGACTCAGTCCCTTTGGGGCAAGACAAACACCTGCTGCCTCTGGTCTTCTCGGCCTGTACCCTGTGCTGGGTACCGCATCGGCCAGCTGTCAGGGGCTAGCAAACCCCGGCGGCCTCAGGGGAAGCGCTCTGATTGGTCCACAGCACCCGGAGTCCTGGAAAGAGGAAGGGCACTGCCTCCGGGTCAGCCTGAGCCCTGCGTTTGCTGTGTGGTGAGGGCAAGTGAGGCCGTCTCCCTGAACTTCGATTTTTCTTCCTCTGTATAATTTATTTCCCTTTTCTCTATAGTGTTTTTCAAAGAATAATTATCACATAAAAAAGCTCCCAGACATTTTCCCCCTTCAAACCCCATCTGTTCTGTAAGATTTAGATGAAATCCCAGCTCTTCTTTTGCCCCAAGTTGAAAACAATCTCTCCTTTTTGCGGTACTAGGGATTGAACCAGATGTCTTTGTATTTAGCTGTATTTCCAGCCCTGGTTTTGTTTGTTTGTTTGGAGACAGGTTCTCGCTAAATCACCAAGTTGCTCAGGCTGGGCTCAAACTTGTGATGCTCTTACCTCAGCCTGCCTGGGTTTTGGGATTACAAACATTCCACTGTGCCCAGCTTAATTTGTACTTTATAAACTACCGTATTAAATCCCCATTTTAAGCTTCCACTTTCTCTGAATCTCTCTAAGGAAGAGAGCTGTCCAGCTCTTACTCTGACTAATTACATAAAACATTATCTTCAGGGCTGGATGAGGTATGTAGTGCTACATATTTAGTGCTCAATGGCATTACTCTTGAATGCAGGAAAAAGCAAATATTCTCTGCTGGGGAAACCACATGAATAATGTAGGGTGTCACAGTCAAAGTACAAAGTTCTATCCTATGTTTTCCACATCACAAGTTCTCAAAGTGTGGTACCTTAGTGTTCCAGACAGGCAGCTGAAAAGACTGAAAGGTTAAGCAGTTATCTTTGAGTTACCCAACTTGTAGTTTCTAGAATATTCTTAGGCTCAACCTTTTTCAAGGAAAAATGCACTTGAAGCCAGGCATAGTGGTGCATGCCTATAATCCCAGCACTCGGGAGGCTGAGGCAGGAGGGTTGCTGTGAGTTCGAGACCAGCCTGGGCTACATAGTGAGTTCCAGGTCAGTCTCAACTACATAGTGAGACCCTGTCTCAAAACAAAACAAAACAAAAAAGACAATACACTTGATTCTTGAGCTGACTCTTAAACTGGTTGCCTTTTCACCCAAAGGTTTATTCCTTCTCTGACTTCCCAGAAGAGAAGCCAGACTTCAGAACTGTGTGACCGTCTCCTCTCTTTTGACATTCCTATAGGGTGTATTTAGTTTTGTCACTGAAAGGTTGTAGACACATAAGGCCGACTTTCTGCTGAGAGTTTAACAGGATAGATGGGGGTGTACACCATTCACACCTTCACATACATAAAAAAGTGTGTATTTCCAATATTGCTTTTATTTCTCATAAAATTTATTTAAAAGTGAACTAAACTGCATTTACAATGTTTTACATTCATAGTTCAGTGAAGTTCTTGAGCATGTCGATACACTTAGCACGTGTGATTTTTGACTTACATAAGCAGAAATTCCTGATGAGCCATTAGAACATTGGGTTTTCTCGTGCACAAACACAGCTGTTGTTTTGAGAAAATAATATGACTAACCGGGAATTTTCAGGAAGTACACAGTGTCAGTAGAAGTTAATTTGGGGCTGGCTTCCTGTGAAACGCACCAGAACCCGGATAGATACCTCCTTCCTCACTTGCCACACCCAAAGCAGTGAAGGATGGGCAGGGACTTCTCTTTTCTGTTCCCCTGGGTTCTCAACCCTCAAATACCCACATTGACACTAGAAAGCTTGCTTCGGTTCCTGAGTTTAAAACGGAGCCAGGCTGACGACAGGGGTGACACTGAGAGAGAAGCCCACATTGCAGCTTCGCATGCCGAAGGCACTAATGCGTGGAGACCGTGACTGGAAGACGTCTCTAAGGCAGACAGCACAGAGGACCCAGGCGGAGCCTCAAGGCAAGTACACAGGTTGGCAGGAGGAAAGGCATCCATAGAGGGAGGCTAAGAAGGTAGGAAGGGTCTGAGAACCACATAAAAGAAGCCAAAGGATCCAGCACTTTACAAAAGAGAGCAGACTACCAGAGTCACACAGCGGAGGCTGACAACGCTGCTCACTGGAATCGATCGGACTGGGATTTAAGCAACCAAGCAGGAGGAGGAAAAAGAGAGTTCAGCTACCAACCACTGGAGTGAATGTGCCACTGAAGTAAAGCAGAGAGAAGCCAAAAGGGAAGAGTTTCCAGCCGGAAGGAATCTCTTTTGGGATGGTACCCATTGAGCACCCTTAATCAGGAAATCCCAACGCTGAGATGTTCCAACATCTGAAATGTCTGAGTGCTGACACGATGGTAAATCCATGCAAATAGCTTGAAATTTTAAGAAGTCTTGAAATTGGAAGCACTTGTGGTCCCAAGCACTTTGGATAAGAGGTGGTTCACCTGCATTTGATGTCAAGAGGGACATACCTGGTGGGGAACAAGACGCTAGAGGGAGTCACTGAGGCCACCACCCAGAGGATGGTGGGAAGGCATCAGCAAGAGTAAGGACAGACACACGGGGGGTGGGGGTGATGGAGCCGTGAAGAGAGAGTCCCCTTGATAGGAGGAAGGCTCCAGGCAGGGGCTCCTGCCTCAGTTTTCTAAGCAAAACTGGAGTCAGAAATGCCATGGATACGGCAGGAACAAAGGAGCCATTCCAGCCGGGACACTGGCGACTGCAGTGCGCCAAACGCCAGAGGAGCTTGTGTGCCGAATGGACCCCCCTGCTAGAGTCCTGCAAGTCTCCTAGGCGTTCTCCACACCCTGGGAGCAGGAGGGAAGGAAACAGACCAGGTGAGTGTTGGCTGGAGACCTTCAGACACAGGGCCCGGGAAAGGGGGCCCTAGAACTCCACAAGTGTGGGTTCTCAGAAACCACTGAATCAATGATGCGCTGTCTGAGCAGAGCGGGGCAAGGAGATTGCTTCTAGATCGAGCGTGCGTGGGGCTGCCAAGCGTTACAGAAAGTATCTTCTAGCGCTGCGTTTGCGCATGGTCCTCCTCCTCGCAGCCTAGCTCACGCTCTGTCCTGGGAAGGATCTCCGACCCCTAACTCCTGTCTCCGTTACTGTCTCTCCTCTGTGCTTGGCTGACAACCCTCTGCAGTGTGCTCCTGTTCACTGACCTGCTTCTTCCTCTGCGTCCTTTGTCTTGCCTTAAACTGCAGCCTCTGGGGCAGTAGGGCCTTTGTTCTGCTCTGGGCCGCCGGCCTGGCACACCAGGTCTCAGAGTGTGCTGGGTCGCTGGATGAAGACCCGTCTGCCAATCACGTGGCAGGTCAGAGGTTTCTTCATCTGGAAGCGGAAGATGAAGGTCAGAGGATCCTAAATCCAAGCTGGGTGCCATAGTGCATGCCTGTAATCCTTGTTTCTTGGGAGGCTAAGGCAAGAGGATTATAAAGTCAAGGCCAGCCTGGGCGAATGAGCGAGGCTCTGACTCCAAATAAAATAAAAAAGATTAAATCGGGTATGGGGTGCATGCCTAGGATCCCAGCACTCTGGGAGGCTGACGCAGGAGAGTCACAAGTCAAGCCTAGCCTGGGCAACTTAAAATCTCAGTGAGACCCTCAAGAAAAAAGAAAGAAGCCGGAGATATAGCTCAGTAGTGGAGGGCTTCCCTAGCACACATGGGGCCCTGAGTTTAATCCCTAATACTGCAGAGAAAAAAAAAAAGGCAGCATAGTAGAAGAAACTACCTAGTCTAGGCTCTTCATTTTTATGACTAAAAAGGCCAAAGCCCAGAAAGGTTGACTTGAAGTTCTGGATATCAGTGAATGTTTTCTTTTTACCACAGTCTACCAGCGGTGGCTCCCCCATATTTATTTCAGGTCCGTTTGAGTTCTAATCGGGTGTTGCTCTATTCAGAATCTAATGTAGATACACTGGGCTCTTTTGCCTTGACCACTCAGAGCTGAAGGTGAGAATGCCAGGACCACAAGCTAGAAATGGTACCCACCGAGGGGAAAATGAGCCTGAGCATCAAGCAGGTGGTGAGCAAAATGAACACGAGAGAGCAACCCATTACAGTGGTGCGGACTTGGGATACCAGAGGCCCTGGACGGGAGTGCACTGAGGGGTTTAAAACAGTCACATGTGCATGGCAGGTTCATCAGCTGCCGTGCAGTTGCTGCTCTACAAGGGTCTGGGTTACTGTAACATTGGTCTTCCAGTGTCGCTACTCTGCTTACCTATTGTGTAATATACACCCGACAGTGTCACCTAATGATGGGCATCCACCCTGAGAAACGCGTGGTAAGGTGACTCTCACTGTACACGCACAAGCCCAGGTGGCCTTGTTTATTACCCTCGCACAGTGTGGTACAGTCTACCACCCCTCGGTTCCAGGCTACAGAATCCTCTAAGCGACTGTAACACAGTGGTGCCTGTGTGAGCAGATAAGTGCATATGAACATCAAAGGTGCAGTCAACAAATACCAGGAAGTAGAAAACTTTTGACCCCTAATCTAATGGAACCATCATCATGTACGCAACCCACGGTTATAATTCAGAAATTCCTGCACACAAGCAGTGCAGTTAGAATCATTTTATTTTCAATAGCCCTGATTGCTTCCCCTCAAAAAAAAAAAAAAGGTCATGTCATTTGTTTTTAGACATTTGCTTACAGTTTCTTTGTTTAAGAAAAATGTCTCTTGAAATGTGAACTGTCTTGTACCCTACGATTTACTTAAAACTGACTAAATATTTAAAGTTACAGTTCTAAGTATTTGGTTAGCTGTGTTATTTTATTTGCTGGTTCATGTTCGTAGGGTCCCTCAAGTCCTTCAAGTTTTACTAACAGCATTGTTTGTGTACATTCTAAGTGGCCTGAAGAAAGGGAAAGAATGTGTATTTTAAATGATTTAGTATCTTGGCTGCTATAACAAGAATCCCATAGACTGGGCAGCTTTACAACAGGCATTTATTTCACACAGGTCCAGAGGCTGGGGAGGCCAGGACCAAGGTTCCAGCAGGCGTGGTGTCCGGTGGAAGCTCTGCCTGGCTTGCAGATGGCCATACTCTCACTGTGTTATGGACAGTTCCACAGGTGGTGGAAGGACGCAGGTCATCTCTCGTGTCTCTCCTTGTAGAGGCACCTAATCCTACTTACCTCTCTGCCCTCAGGACCCAGTCACTTCTGAAAGGCGCACCTCCAAGTACCATCTCACTGGAGATCTAGGCTTTAACCTACGAATTTTAGAAAGACACAAAGAATCCTTTTCCTAATCTACTTATAAGGATGCATGGCTCAAGTAGATATTTCATGTTACTCCTTATAGGAAGAGAGAGGTGCTCAGATTCCCTGTCCCCTGCACCCTCAGGACAGCTCTCTGGCTCTGACAGTGTTGGGATGCCATCCTCCCAAACACCGCCCCCTTCTGGCTTGAAGTGGCAAATCTCAGAAAGTCTTAGGAAGGCCAAGCTAGGCACCTTGTGTGGGCAGGTAGAGCACTTTCAATGCATTTTATTTGGAGAATGTGAAACTTCATGTTAGAAGACCCTTCAGAAGGACACATTCAGATGTGTTTCTTCGTGAGATGAGGGAGGGGACCGGAGCCCAGGGCGGGGAACTTGCTGAAGATCCCAGCTAGCCTGAACATTAGCAGTGAGATTCATGTCCTCCAATCCCAGCACTTTTCTCAGTCCCGTTCTATTGTCACGTAGTCACCTCCCACGTGTTTTTTGTATTATTAGTGCTTGAGAAAAACAAATGATTGACCAGATGGTGAAATAGTACCAAAGCTAGTTGGTGAATTCTGGGAGTTCAGCCTAGTCCTGCTCTGAGCCTTTCAGGTACCGTGGGGAAAGCCACTCACATACACTCTGCCTCAGTCTCCATTTCCTGTCAAGAACTTGCTATCCACAACACATGTGGCCAACAGGAAACACTCCATGTTTCAACTGAATGAAAAGATTGTGGCCGGGGATTTAGCTCAGCGGTTCGGTGGCCTGCCTCGCAAGCGCAAGGACCCAAGTTCAATCCCCGGTACCAAAACAAAACAAAAAACGAATGAAAAGATTGTAAGTGTGACACTGGTGTAGCCCGTGGAACTCAGAGACATAAATTTTTCAGCTAAAACAGAAAATGTGTTCATGAAAACCTTTTGCAAATAGAGAACTACAACAAAAGAAGAGAAAGAAAGATGAGATTTATCTAAAGGTTAAAATGTAGCTTTTAAAAATAGAAGATCCTATTTGATGATTTCAAATCCCTCTTTCTGGATAGAAGCGCTAGGGATGGGCATCTCATTGGAATGTTTCTCAAGGCTGCGATAAGAGCAGCAGAGACGGGTCTCGCCAGTGTGCATCCTGCACCTGACACAACAGACCACTGCGCCGGGTGTGAGCAGTGGGCGGGGCCGCTCGTCCCCGGACCCAGCTGATTTCCATCAAGGGACGATCCCGGAGTCTGGCGGGGCCTGGGCTTGCCCTGGCTCGTGGATCTCTGTAAGATACGGAAGCGCCTCTCAGCTGCACGGGTCATCTTTGTGCCTTTGGCATGAAAACAGGCAGCTGATTTGGGAAGACAGCAGCCAGACACATGGCACAGCTGACCTGACACGGTTCAGGGGTCACCAGTTAGAAAGAGACGCGACTCCAAGAGGGGACCAGACGGTCACCTGAAGCCGCCACTGACGGGAACATGCTCAAATCCTTCCCACGGGAAGGTAGACCTGAGAAACCTTGTTCTCAGCGCCGGGATCTCTCCAAGGGCGGAGCACACAGCCCCCCTCCCCCAGTTCTCGCGGGCTGCCCTGGCGAAGCCCGCCTGAAGAAACCGCCTGTGAGGACAACACAGAGCCCTTCACCGTGGCCCCGCCGAGGCTCCTCCCCCGGCCACATTCCTTCTCGCTCCGCGGTTTGGTTCCACAGACTTTTGAGCCTGACACTTCCGTCCAGGCCTTCAGTCACGTAGGCAGAGGGAGGGAGGGCTACCAAGGAGAGCGAAAAGACCACCCGCAGCCCCTGTTCCTCTAATAACCGGACCAGGCTAGACCGAGGGCATCCAAATGGAGACGGTAACACCTGTGACTTTTTTATCTCAAGCCCCCGATTTTAAGCGTTTCCTTTGGGATTCAAGTTTGTCTCCCGGCTCAGGCTCATCTCTAGTCTTGTGCCCATCAGACACGTGGACAGGCTTTTCAGGTCTCCTGAGCATAGGCTCTGCTGCAGAGGATGCACAGCCCTGCTCTCCCTGCAGGCAGGCTGCCGTGCTGGGTGCACTCCTATAGGCTCTTCCTCCAATCCCAGGACGGTGTATGCACAACTCACCACCTCCTGGAAGGCTGAAGGCAGAAAGGTCCAGGAATTGTGAGAAATGCTGAAGAGATCCAAGTAAAAGCTCTGTCACTCGACTGGCCAACTCTCCAGCACCAGGAAAGGCCAGCTAAAAACATCCAACGTAAACCGGAGAACACCCAACAGCCAATTCAAGTGATCTACAAAGTCCATTAGAAAGAGATCAGCATCTGGGATGTAGGTTTTCTATTTTTAATCAGTTTTAAAATAAAAACTAGTTTTTAAGGACATAAGACCACAGCGGAAAAAAAAATGTTCTCTTAAGAAAAATCTTAATTATTTACAATGATCGAATTTATATGCAATTTGCATGATCGGTGGCCTGGAGCTTAATAGAAGGTATGGTTGAGGAAGACATCAGGGGGTGGCACATCTGGAGAATACAGCAGAACTAAAAGGAGAGATTCTTAGGTAGGAATATAATGCAAAAAGCAGAATTTGGCCATTTCAACAGGGAAAATAAGTATCATGGCAGCCTTGTTAACGCCGGAAAGAGTTACCTTATGGTAGGCTACAAGATGGATAGGCCAGACGGTACAAGGCAGAAAGGCAGAAGCTTTCATGCTTTTAACTACGACTCTTTCCACTTCATGTCCCCAGGTTTGTCTACCACAGGTGAGGGGCTGCAGAGGAAGGAACAGGAAGGAGGCGGGGGGTGCCCTACCCCTCGCTGCAGCAGACATCAGCCCTAGGCTGCAGAGTGTGGCTTGTTGTAAGAACGGAGGCATGCGAAGGTAACAAGGACCGCTGTGCCTCCGTGTCCCCGCAGTTACTTCCCTCTCGTGCACCGTCATTGATGAAGGCCGCTGGGTTCAGAACCAGTGGATGCTCCCCGGCCCAGCGTTGTTTGTGTGTCAAACGGATGAGATGCCAGGTAATCTTCATACGCCCCGTCAATCAGTCTGGCAGCACCGTTCCTAGCAAACCAGCAGTCTACCTGCTCTTCCCCGTTGTAAATCTTCCTTTGTTTCCAGACCACTGGGACCCGGTGCCCTTTCACCTGTAGGATCATCTCAGATGCTCCTTCAGCCTGAGTGAGTGGGGAGTTTGTACGATTTGTGCTGTGCCCTGCAGGCTCCTCTGTGAGTTTGGCCTCCTGGTTCAGGAACTGACCTGGGAGGACAAAAAGACACAAAATGTAAATCATGTGAAGAGCGAAATAAAAGAGAGGTGAGGAAAGGAAGTACAATGTGGAGATAGGAAGGGGATGTGGGAAAGGGAGCAAAGATGATGAAGAAGCACGTTTATGTACGGATTTCCCGAGATGAATGCACGTGTGACGCACTGTAAACACACTCATGGCACGCTGTCTTGAACGTGTTGAGGTACAGTAACTATAGACAACCACTGCAGCTACCAGCGGCGTCAGTGTCACAGGGGTTTTTGTTTGTTTGTGGCACTGGGGATTGAACCCGGGGCCTTCACACTGAGACACATCCCCAGCCCTTGTTAAATGTGTGACTTTGAGCCAGGTCCCCCCGGGATTACGGGTGTGTCACCACGGTCAGCTGGGCACAGCCCCCGGTCAGACTTTCCCTGGGGGCTGTCACACCTTGTGCAGGCTGGGGATACAACCTGGAGAGGAACGCGCTCAGCTCCTGCACACAGTGGCTCTCCACTTCTGGAATCTGGCCCATTGCTAATGCTGGGAAGTCACCTAACCAGCACGTGGACACAGCCAGTCTCCTACGGAGTCAGAAGTCGAGTGGAGCACAGATGAATAGGGCGTGGGTATAAGTCCCCCTCCACGGCCTCCCTGTGGTGGACGCACACCAGGGAGGGGTGTGGAAGTTGTCAGATCAGGTTGTCCCTGACACTCATCCCCAGAATGCTCCAGGTCAAGCGAGGGCAGTGCCCGGGACAGGGCAGCACAGATCTGCGTCTGTGGGGCAAAGCCTACGCTTGGCACCAGCTCAGCAGAATGTATCCAGCTCAAGCGCCAGGAAATCCTCTTTCTAAACTGAGTCCCGGCAATGCCTCACTCTTCAGTTTTGGGCAAGGGACCTACGTGAAGTCACACGTTGAAGAAGACCGGCCAGGGTGGCTGGCGGCTCTCACAGCGATGAGGTGACTCCTAGGAAAGGCAACTGTCTCCTGTGCTGGGCCTGGGCCTGGGCTGCCCTTTCCCTGCGTCTTCGCAGAGGGACAAAGAACCAGACTTTAAGATGATAGCTCTCCCTTTCTCTGCACTGCTTTCCAGAAGATGAGTGAGAACTGGTTAACAATGCTTATTCCTATGCCAGGAAGTCATCGGGAGGCAAGAAATGCAATTTTCATGAACACACAGTCAGCCTCCTGTACCCGTGGGACTCCGCGTCTGTGGATTCAATCAACAGCAGGCTGAAAATATTTGAAAGACAAAGCATCTTTACTGAACACAAACCTTTCCCTTGTTATCATTCCCTGGACACAGAGCGTAACAGCTACTTACGTGGCACTGACAGTATTCAGGTAGGATGAGTAGCCTAGAGATGATTTAAAGTACATGGGAGAACATACGCCAGTTTTATACAAATTCTACACCATTTTAGGTAAGGGACTTGCACATCCTTGGAGTTTGGTATCCTTGGGAGAGCCTGGAACCATAACCCCGCAGCTACCAAGGGACATCTGTACATATAAGTACCAAATGCCCACTAAGTTTCTCAATTAATCTAACGATATTAGAGGCATCGTAACAACCGGCAGTCTGGGCTTCACTTGGGAATCTAACTCCTTTGGACCCAACATGAGCACACCCACGGCCTACCTAGCAGTCCGTGGCATTGGCTGGAGAGGCCTTTGCTGTTGGAGATGTAGAAGCCCAAGTGGTTTCGCTGGAAGGCTGCCGGCTTCTTGTAGAGGTGAATGAGGACAACGAAGGCAATGGTGCCCTGGACGGTGACGGTGACGTTCGCACTGGCAGACACAGCCACTTCCAGCCCGCGGCTCCCCACGACCACGCTCTGGTTGCAGGGGAGGACCAGCCTGTCCCCACCATCCAAGATGACTCTGCTGGGCGTGATCTCGAGGTAAGATCTCTGCGGCCTATTGATGAGGATGGTGATGGTGCGGAAGTAAGTGCGCTGCTTCTTGTGACCACTGGGAGGAGCCGGCGCCCCGATGAGGGCTCCATTCACTGTCACACCTCAAGGGAGAGGGAAAGAGAAGCGTGGTTGAAAAAATTGGTCTCACCTTTCTGCAGAAGGTGTCGGGTCAGAATTTCCTTCCTCCTTCCTTATTTTCACGTCTCCAGCACCAACAGCACCAATTCCCACATTCGAGCCCCTCGGTTCAGCCACTTGGTGGTTGCCATGTGAGTCTGAGTGCACGAGAGAGACCACAAGGGAGTTTCCTCCATGTTTGACCGGCATCTTGGAATGTGGGAAGGAGGTTTCCAGTTTGGGTCGAGGTATCACGGAAGGGCTCGCATATTTGCGTGCTTTCATCCCAGGAACTCGTAGTACCAGAGACCTGTTGGTCCTGATGTGTGTTTGTATAGATCAGTCGCCACCGGTCCTAACCTAGAGATCCTTTGATGCCAGAGAGCAAGGGGAGAGAATGCTAAAGTGGAAATTTTCATTCCCAAAACTCAAATTTTTTCATTTACTATATATTCACCCTTAGATGAAGTCATTTAAAAATTAATCTAGAATTCCTTCATTTTGGAAAATGAGGAGGATATAAAATCAAGAGAACATTCATGAGGATATGAGGGGCAGGGTACATCTGAGCTGTTAACTGCCGTCAAACATACCCACATCTGCCGCCTGCCTCGCAAGCACAAGGACCTGAGTTCGATCCCCGGTACCAAAAAGTAAAAACATTTCAAGAAGCCCCTTTTCTGCTACACAATCCCAAACAAGCACAGCTCTTCTGGACTCATTCCTCGCATGAGGTCTCAGACAAACCCTCAGGCTCCGTGTGCAGGGCTGGCCAGCAGGCTCAGTTGCATGAGGCCATGTCTGAGAATAAATTCGCTGATGCATGTTGGATACGCTTTGTTCTCTGGAAAAGAGGCCATTTTTAATGAATAAAGATCGCTATATAAATAACTTTTGTTTCGCTGCTTTGAAAGTCGTCTCCCTAATAAATCTGACTAGCAACTTCTTAGATAGACAAGGAGGAAGGTTACTTCCCTGGGGAAAATATTGAAATGAGAAGCAACCCCCAACCAGAACCGAACCCCGCTTTTCACCCTCAGACCTCTCTCTGCCCAGGCTGAGGTTCTGTCTTGGACAACTTCGAGAATTTGCTTTTTTTGTTTTGAGAGAGGGTCTTGCTACGTAGTTTAGGGTGACCTTGAACTCATTATGTGGCCCAGGCTGGCCTTGAACTTGCGGCAGTCCTGCCTCAGCCTCCTGAGTGTTGGGATTGCAGACATGCGCCACCACACCCAGCTGATTTAGGGAATTGAGAACCCATGGAACAGCTCCCAAGAGAGAAGGCACTTCTGGTGAGGGGTACAGTTAGGTTCCCATCTCTTCCCTGCCCCCAGAGGTATTATAAACCTTAGAAACTTAGCTCTGAGGCTAGGAAGACCTGAAAGAGAAAAATATAATTAAGGAGACCTAGAACCAACCTTCACATAAATACATCACACGTGTCACCTTGATGGGAGACGTTCTGCAACCTGAATTTCTAAGCCCCTCACTTTCATAGCACTGAAAAATACCAGATGGTCTCCACAAAGCTGGCCTGCATGGCTGTCCACACAGTTGTTCCCAAGCATCGTTACCTGCCTTGAGCAAAAGTTTCTGAGCCAACATCTTTCCCCGGTCCCTCACTAGGGAACCAGCTCTGTTTTTACGGAGATGCCACTGACACGCAGCGCTGTGTGGTTAACCTCTGGGCTTTACCTCTGAGCTTTTGAGGAACTAGGACACAGGAGTCTGGGCCTCCTATCTCGCTGCCATTACAGCTTTTGAATAGAAAGATATAGTGACACTGGTATGTGGTGGATGTCTGTAACTCTTGAGCATTTTCTAAGCTACTTCATATTCCTAATTTCACTCGATTCACTTCCTAACATCCCGTGAGGCCAGCAGAGTATCAGCGCCTCTGTTCTACAAGGGAGAAACCGCGGCTCGGCTCTCGAGGCCTGTGCCCAAGGCCCCACTGAAGCTGCCCAGGGCGGGTCTGAGTGGCATCCGGCTGAGTGCAAGTCAGGAACCGCCCACTCCCTGGCGATCACCGCAGTCTGTACACCGCAGCTCATTCACCCTGATACAGAAGCTGGGAGAACCCCTCCCTGGTCCCGGCCCAGGAGACGGGAGGGGGCAGAACTTACCAGAGCCCGCGTGATCAGAGACCAACTGTAGGATATCCCCGGGCTGCCCGTCGATGTTAAAGCAGACGGTGAGTTTGCTCGAAGGGAAATCCACAACAAAATGGGGATCGCCGTCCACTGGCGGGGGAGGCACAGAGGAGAGAGAAAGACAGACACTTACTGGCTGCCTTCCGGATTAACTGTAGCGAATCCCCAGGAGGACACGGAAGGAAGATGCCTCCAGGCACTGACTAAGGAAATGCACAGGAGGAAAGTGACTCCCCGCTCCCATCCAGTTAGCCCGAGCAGCGGGATCTAGCTCCTCTCGCCATACCTCAGTTAAGTGTAGAATGAAAAATGTAAAATGAAAGTCGGATGTTGCCCGACACCCTCCACAGCTGCTGAGTCCGTAGCCTCCCGTTTTGCGGGCGGATTTTCCCATTCATTTGCTCTGTCCTTAACCGCCCGTCTAAAGAGTGAGGAGGACCTTCCTCTTCTGTGAGGGGGCTTGTGACACTGCTCCCCGCAAGCCACAGCCTGTCAGAAACCTGCACGGTGCCAGCTGTGGGCCACCTTTGCCCGTCGGCAGTAAGAGCCTGGCCCCACCCGGGGGCAGTGAAAAGTGAGCACGGGGTCCCTAGCTGGGTGGGCAGAACAGAGAGTGGTGACAGAGGAATCACGCCTCGAGGTCATACGGACTTACTCGTCCACAGTGGAGGCCATGAAGCCCAGCTGGCCCCTGGTGACTGTCTGTTCTCCCCACGTTCCCCTCTGCTCCCTGGGAACGGCCCTCCCAGGTGTTTGTACCAATTCTCTTGTCTCACCGGATTGGAGACTGACTCTCTCTCTCTGGCTTAGACATGAAATGCGGCACGTTTGGGGAAACCTCTCCACTTTTGCCCAGCTGCACACGAACAAGTGTGTGTCTGTGCGTGCTAGACGCACGGGTCAGGCGGAGTCATCTTTTCACGCTGAAAGTGAATTCACGTGCTTTCTGTCACTGACTCAGTATTACTCAGAAGAACCCTTGACACCCCGAGGAGAACGATCTCTACTGCTGCTTTCTGCCAATGTGCTGTAAGCGCAAGTCCTGGAGATTAGCCACCAGGAGAGCAATGTACAGGTTCTTTGCAGGGAATGCAGTTTCCCGAACATATGTGCTCTACAGAATTTGAGACAACCTTCCTCTCGGATGCTGTCTGCAATAATCACTTTTGGACTTTTCCCTTCTTCTTTTGAAACGAGCAACATCTTTTCTTGTAGAGGGCGTTAGATGCCTTGAGTAGAAATGATGAGTTTGGAGCTGTCATGGTGACTCTCAGAGAACTGTCACATAAACTAACCCTAAAGAGTCCCAACAGTGTGGGTGAGAACTTTTGTCTCCTCTGGGGGCCGTTATTTTTCCATCATCACAAGACAAACACCTGTATTTCTTTATATGCTGCCTCACAGGGGGGTCAAGGTGCTTCATGGTGAAAGCAACCAAACTCTCTCAAGGCATATCCACTGGGAGAATAAAACCCAGCTGCCCTAGCCTGACTTTTATTGTCAGGAAGCTGCCAACAGAAAATATTATGGCATTTTAAATCTGTTCTTTTCCTTCTAAGGCCAACAATTTAAAAACACAAGACAAAAAATCCTGCCTATCACTCCAGACATTTACATTTTTATAAACTGTTTCTGTATCTGTGACACCTGAGGCTGAAAGCATGTACATTTTAAATCTCTAAGACCGATCAGAATGTGCTTTGCAGTCTGTCCCCTCTTCCCTCAGGGGTCTTGCCAGACTTCCTGGATTCTGTGGTCTCTCCATGGTGTTCAAGCCATGGCTTGAAGACGGTCCTGGTTCTTAGCATTTGCCTCACGCTGCAGGCCCAAGCTACAGGAATACAGGTCGTGACACTTTCTTCTATGAGCTGCTATTTTAACTGGCTTCACGGAAGTCCCCAGCGTCCACTTTCTAAGATGTCCTTACTCTTAAATTCACATTCAGCCACACCTTTTCTGTACCTGATGTTTTAGAGAGTTTGATTCTTGGATCATATGGTTTCTTGAGCATGGGTCCTAAAAAGGAAAGAACACTGTGTTATTTATTCATTAGAGATGAGTAATGCCCAGCTTTCAGATACATTTGTGATAACAAAAAGAATTCAGAGCTCTTTAAAACATCATTTATTTTAAAGACAGAGCCTGGCCTCAAAAGCCATAAGTGTGATGTCAACTGTGGAGACTTAATTGTTCTTTATCAATTAGATTTTATTTTTATTTCTGTGATCTCTGTGAATATACGTAACACCACTGAATTGTACACTTAAAGGGGGTTACGAGGGTAAATTTCATGTTGTGTAATTTTTAGCACAATAAAAGTTAAAACCAAAAGTCATGGCTAGGGTCCAGTGTCCACAACTATATGTGTAAGCTTGATTCATAAAGCATTTTGAAACACCAAGTATCCAAAGTAACTTAATTGAATGAATATTCCATTAATGCGTAACCTAAAAGAAAATTAATTTCTGTAAATAAGATCACTATCTTATTTCAAACTGTGTATTAGGTAAATTATGCTCCTTTTCACTGATCTTTATCCTCAGAGAAATTAAAGATAAAAAGTCCTAAATACTTTTTTAATCATTCTCCGTTCTAGTCTCTGGCAGAGAACATGGGCAGGGTACAGATGGACCAAGAAGGAGAATGAAGCAGTCTGCTGGGCAACCGCTTTAAGAAGTGGCAGTTTCGCCTGTCACGGTGGCACAGGTCTGTAATCCCAGCACTCTGGGAGACTGAGGCACGGAGATTCCAAGTTCAAGCTCAGCCATGTCAAATTAATGAGACCCTGTCTCAAAATACAAAAATAAAAAAGGGCTGGTGATTGTAGCTCAGTGTGAAGGCCCTGTGTTAAATTTTCAGTACTGAAAAAAAAAAGTAGCAATTGCTATAGACACTCAAAAAAATTAAAACATCAGAGATTTGGGGAAAGGAGAGCTGTCTTGTGTTACTGACACTTCAGGAAAATCATTTTGAAATCTATGTGGAAAAGCTCCTTATTCGCCACAGTCGCTTGTTTCCTTATCTGCGTGCCTGGTCCTCAGAGTCCGTTATCATTTGTCTGCTCCCTCCTGAATCTACTGGGATTTGAGCTCCTGACATATAATAGAAGACCTTACTCAGAAAGGCAATTTTCCTGGATGCGGCATGGATCTTTCAGCACGTTAATGCTCTCCTCTAGCCTGCTTTTAATCAGAATGAAAATCGCACTAGCTTTTAGCAAGGCTCTGCTCTTTCTAAAACGGCAGGGTTCTTTGTTGCCTCCCCAGAAGGGTACGGATCTCTCAATTAATGTCTAGCACTACATGTCTTGTGGGAAAGGATGGCTCATGCTTGTAGAACAGTCATTATGCGCCAAAGACGTCCACATTAGTGCTTGCCATGGCCTTCAGAAGCATTATCATCGCTCCCGTTTTCCAGGCACAGGACTGGAGGCTCAGACAGACACAGAAGCCTGCCCTGGGCCTCACAGATGCTCTGCAGGGTCAGCGGATCCGTACTTCACATTCTGCCCGCTCCCACACTCTGGTGCGCCTCAGAGTTTAGAGTGTCCAGGATAAGAAGACAGCGCCTGTGTCCTATCTCACGGGTCCTGGCTAACTTTGGCTCCCTTTCTTAGCTGAAGGAATCTGACAGGAACCTAATAAAAGCACACCACTTTCCACAAATGGATGCTATCCAGAATACACCCCTCTGCTTTGGTCTCACAGGATTTTCTTCTTCTTGCTCCTATCAAATGGCCATCAAGATTGAGCATGGCTGCCTCTCTGCAGATTCCAGGGGGATTCTCTCAAGAATCTATATCTTGGTTCTTCACAAACTTTCCCAAGAAAATAAGAACAAGTATATACATAAAATGACCTAACTCTGAAGTATTTAAAAATATAAAAAGGCACTTAAGGGCCCGGGAATTTAAATCAGTGATGTGGTGCCCGCCTGGCAAGCACAAGGTCCTGAGTTTGATCCCTGGTACAAAAGGGGGCAGGTCACTTAAAACTAAATATTTATGTCTGTTTGTTCTTCTTGGTGCCCCAGTCATGTCTGCAGTATGGCAGGCACTGGGTTTGCGTGTGACTTATTATGGGCTGACCACTGGCCACATTTCTTAGCTCACATACCACTTTTTCTCATTTCCCTTGAGAGCCACAGTTTATAACAATACAAGCACACAGTCTCACGTACTTTCTTAAGACTCCCTGCTGCATGGAGGGCTCCTGTTTGTAAAAATTATAATCTGATAAAATAAAACAGACTCCTGCTGAGGTTGCCAAAAGCTTAAAAAGAGTCACAAGCCATACCCAGGCCCAGGTACACCTGGCCACCCGGGAGCTGCATACCTGGCTGCATAGTGGATCCCCGCACACTCTGCATCACCATTCCGGGCCCTGTAGCAGCAGACATGCCCCGGGCCGCCTCCAGTGTGTCCTCGGGAAGCCCCGGCTTCCTCAGCTTCATGGAGGTGAAAGGGGTGAGGAAGTGGTAACTCATGGCCAGGTCCTGCACCTTCTGCCTCAGTCTCTCTTTCTCCTGCTCGCTGTCACTCTGCAGCCAGGAGCTCAGCAGCTCCTTCACAGTCAGGTAGCTCCAGAGACGCTCAATGTGGTTGGGGTCCTCCTCTCCATCACTTCTGGAACTGGGGCGTCCTGGGGCGCCACTCCCCGCCTTCTGAGGCTCCACAGGCACATCTGTCTCTAGGATGACAAATTTCTTACTGTTGCTGGCAGTGACCTCCACATGCAGCTGATCTGTCTTCCTGTCCACCAGCTTCCCCGCAATGACGATCTCAGAGCCGTCGAAGTAGTTGGGGAACACAGTTTTGGTGACATGCTCCACTAAGCCAGAGGGATAATCGATGCGGATGTCAGAAAGCAGGGGGGTCCTGATCTCATCATAGAACCTGCAGGCGAGGAACAGACAGAATCAGGGCATGGCCAGCAGCAAAGTACATCTCTAAAGTGAATTCTACTCTCATAAAGGGTGTGGTCTGACTAGAAGTGAGCAAGTCCATCGCAGTCCACAGCACAATCTCTGCGACAGAGGACACCAGCAGGAGCTCAAACTCCCCTGCTGAGAGAGCCCTCGTTATCTCACAGAGCTCCTGAGCTGTGAGCATCCTGAGAAGCTATCAGGATTTCCACCCCTGAGAGTTCCCTGAAATTTTGGCTAAGTGTTGCTTCTGGAGCAACAGAGAACTGGTCTAACCAATCTTCAACGTGACAGCCACTTAGATGCTCAAAGGACATTGCTGCGTGTGCCCTGACGTCTTTCATTTATGCTGCCCAATCAATACATACTTTCATGAATTATTCTTCATGTGATACAATTTCACGATCACCCTCACGACTCTTGATACATTTCCCTTGTACACACCAAAGCTTCTCAAAGGGCTCCTGAAAACATTTCTCTTGAAAATAGATGCACTTTAGGTAGCACATTATTTGTATTTGTTTCTGATAGTTTTTCTTATGCCTCTGTTATGTGGCTGCTTCCTGCTAAGTAAGGGTACAGTCAAAGTCCACTTTCCAAAGCTCTACACAGCACAGGATATAGAATCAACTTCCATCTCAGCCAGTCCTTGCTCTGTGTTTAAGGAATGTGGCAGTTTCTTCGTCTATGAAATCAGTATGTTAATAGTCAGTACCGAACTCTTCAGCAGATCATCAGCTATGTCTCCAGGTCCTTTCTTCCTTTCTTTTATGATTGAGTTCTAACTAGGCCTATGTCTAGTAGTGCCTACAAAAGACGTTTCCTGTTCTCCACTGTGCTGATTAAGGCTGTGTGACCATGATGTCACCAGTGGAATGTAAGTGACAAGACATTTGCTTAAAATGAAATGGCTTGCAATGATTTTCTTTTCTTTCTCTCTTTCTGAGGCTGCAATACAGAAATGATAGTGATTTATTTCAACCTTCTAGTTAAGGACAATACCTAAGTATGTGGAGCACAGCAATAAACTAGAAAGAACCTGAGTCCCTGACGATTGCATAACCAGAACTTAGCCTGCGCTCTGTTACAGGAGAAGTGAAGGGATCTCTCAGGACGGCCTCTGCATCTGGCCATCTCTGCATGACAGCATAGCGTCTACCCTGACGTATCTGGTACCTCTTAGAACAGTGGTGGAAAACTATGGCTTGAGTGTTGTTGTTTTTCTTTTAAGACCAAAAATGTTAATGTATGAGTTGTTTTTTCTAAACTAAAACCTCAGTATTCAGGTTTAACTGCAATGTTGGTGCCTTGTGATAAACAAGTGGGTTTGGAGTTGCAGCGTCTGGAAGTTCGCCATCCCTGTCTTAGGATTTTGTGAGGGTCGTATGAGATGATATGTGGAGAAATGCTAGGCAAATTTTAAGTTCTAATTTTAGTTCAAAATTTAAGTAAGTTAGGAAAGATCATATATTTAATGTTACAAATAGGGCAACTGATCTATTTCCATGTAACTACTTTCACTATGAACGCATTACCGAATCTCAATTCTTTTATATAGTACACCCAGTGCCCCCTGATCTAGCTTTAAAGATTTTTTATAGCATAAGAGACAAACTCCTGTTTTCATTTAAATATTCCATAAAAATGCTGGAAGAAAACTAGCGGCCAGTTCCATACATATTGCCTGTCTTTGCTGTATACTGCAGAATTTCAGTGAGGTTTATCATTATTAAATTTCTTTAGTTATAGCCATTGAGCATCCATAAATGCACCTCAACCTCACTTTTCCTTGACAATATACGCTATGGATGTCAAGAATTAAGATGTGGGGCCGGGGATTTAACTCAGTGGTGCCATGCTTGCCTCACAAGCGCCAGGACCTGAGTTCAATCCCTGGTGCAGATACAGAAAAGGAATTGAGATGTGTTACGTCCATGGACCAACTCCCTGTGATGAATGGAATCATCATGTGACTAATACAATTTTTTTAAATTATAAAGAAATACGACAATGCTGTACCATGCTGAACTGGAAGTGGACACTTCATTGCCTTAGCAGCAAAATCACATACTGTATTTGGTATCATGTACCCATGGGAAGTTACCTTGGTGTTAGAAGGCCTAATTCTAGTTTCTTCTCTATCTCATAATTATAATCTGATTATTATTATTATTAAATTATGTTGATGATATTAAATTATCAGTTTAAACTGGCTATTTTCCTTCCAAATTAAAAGATGATCTTTTTTTTTTTTTGGTACCAGGAATCGAACTTGGGCCTGGCAGGTGATGGAACCACGGAGCTAAATCCCCAGCCCAAAAGATAATCATTTAATTGTACTACAAATATGGCAGGCACCCATAATTCTCATTTTACAGATGAGGAACTGAGGCACAGATAGTCTTAAAACCTGGCCTAAAGCCACAAGGCAGGACTAGAATGTGATCCCTGATCTGCAAACCCAGGATGAGATCAGTGACTTAGGAGCACTTCTCATAGATTTGAGGTGCGGCAAGAACACACTGCTGTCTGGATTTCTATCGAATCTGACCCCCAGAGCCCTTACATAGCATCTCCTCTTCCTGAGACAAGAAAACAAACCCAATGAGCTGTGCGCCCGCGTCCTCCTCCTCCCGGACGCGCCGTGTGAGGCCGCAGTTGTCCAGGGACAGTTTCTCCAACAGCTTGAAGTCCACATCATTGCCAATGCCAACAGTGAAGATGCAGATCTGACCCCGTGCGGCCTCCTTGGTGTTGTTGAGAATCTTGGGGGCGTGGGTCTCCCCCACTGTGGGTTTCCCATCTGTCAGGAAGATGACAAGGGACACGCTCCGGTCCTCGATGTCATTGTGGGACACGTAGCTGTTGAGGAGCCTGATGGCTGCCTGGAGGGCCCCGTTGATGTCTGTGCCTGTGGGACACGAGGAAGACAGCTCCGACACTCAGTGCATTCACAGCTGCAGCGAACCCTCGGCTTGGCTAGAAACCTAACAAGTGTCTGCTGACTAATATAAGTGACACAGAGTGATCCCATGGTAAAAACCTCCTCCTGAAGGTAACTGATGATACCGTCGTGTAGAAGTTCTCACTACCCTGGCCTTAATAATAACTTCTCCACCCTTTTCTGGGACAAGCTTTGAAAAGAACAGGAAGGTTCTGGGTGCGGGAGTTTGAAGGGAGGAAGTCACAGAGAAGAAAGGTGCACAGAATAAGGAAGCGGGTTGGGACAACTAGACACGCTCCGGGTGATTTCAAACGTGCCTGGGTGGTGCTGCCGGAACTATTTAGTTCTCTGCATTCTCTCTCCTTTCCTCGCTTGCTGCTCCTTTGGAGTCACCGCTGCTTATTAAAACCCACAATGGAAGGAGCCGTTACAATGCGCACTCCTGGACCCGGAACTTTTCTTTCAGAGAGGTGCCTGTTGTCAGCAGCTCTGATTAAAGCTGTGTGACAGAGTGTGCAGAAGCTGGCAAGTAAATATTTGCTTGGTTTATGGAGAGGTGGGTGGGTGGTTGAGGTTGAAACCCCAGTGAAAATGAGATTTCTGGATTAGCTAAGAATTCCACTCAACTGAGCTGCTACTGTTCCATCTTCACCAAGCAAAACCGAGTTTTTACCATCTAGATCCCTAAGTCACTTTTTAATGGCTTGAGCTAAAATTTACATATCCCTCCAAATCACCCATTTTAATTCCACTTATTTTTAATGGCTTGAGCTAAAATTTGCAAGCCAAAAGAAATCACACTGTCAACATCCAATTCATTATTTTTAGTAAATGTAGAGTTTTGTAACCCTCACCACCCCCATCATCTTGTCAAGAGCAATGTTTTAGCTACCTGCCAAATGTATACTGTTCGAAAGAGGCAGATCATTTCCTCTTTACTTTAAATCCTCCAGAACGTCTGGCTTTAAAAAGGATAGCTAAGTCTATGCTTGTGACAAAAATGCTTATAACTCTTGCTAAGATGCATTCAGATCCCAAACAGAAGCAAAGTTACAGCTGAAATGGCCTTTTAACGATTCTTTGGAATCATTCACTTGCCTTTCATAATGCTGGTCTCATTTCTTGCTGCCTCTGGATGAGTGGGCACATACCACCTGGCAGGTGTCGTATCCTTTTTAATTTGCACTTAGTAGTGATGCCAAATCTCTCAGTCCACTTTAAATCCAGGGAGAGCTGGGGCCAAAGGGTGGATTTAGCGTCGCTGATTGCACTCAGGTGCCAAAGGCACTGAGGGCTTGGAATCAAACCATTAAGGCGAGGCATCTCCAGCCCATTCAGCCACAGTGAGGAGCTCTCTGCAAGAAGGGTCCCACAGGGCTGCCTGACCAGTCCACCAGAGCTCCTGAGGGCCAGCAACAGGACTACTCAGGTGAATAAAAACAATGGCCGCGTCACCAAGAGGACTTCTATACGCCAGAGCCACTCTGCGCTCTCTGAATATTTTAACCCATTTGATCCCCATGGCAACTCCATTAACATCCTCATTTCACAGACGTGGGAACTGAGGTGCAAAGAAATTGAGTGGCTAATGGTGGATTCAAATCCAGCAGTCTGGCTTCAGAACATACGCCTCCAATCCTAAAGTTACACCTCAAAGAGAAGTGGATTAATCTGCTCTTCACTTGCAGAGTGGGGGCAATGGAATGTCAAGAAAAAGAGGAAACCCATAGGGTTCCTAAGGTTTGGATTCCAAAAGAACATAATATATGATAACTGTTTTCTGAAGCCGTTTAATCATCTCCCTCCAACACACACACACATACTTCTAATCAAATAAATCCAGTCAAACACTATTGAGCATGCACAGCATTTCTGAAACCATACTAGGAACCAAGGGCTGCAAAGACGAAGAGTAAACTCTTCCCTCCAGGTTAGTCTTACCAACTTCCTGACAGAGACAATAGCTACAATATTAAATCTTTCCTTTCTTTCATCAAATAATAAAACAGTTCTTAGATGATACTGCTTTTGGAGGCTGGAAGGAAATACCATGGTAAGTCTAAGCAAGATCAAATTCCAGGTTTATTTGGGAAATCAGTGCTTTGGCTTGGATGGAAAATAATGACAATATGAAAGAAGGAAAAAAAATCTCAAATAAGACTGATCCGAGTGCTCCGAACGCTTCTAGAAAATCAAAGTGAAATTAACCAAGAGGACAGCTTTAGAAGATGGGCCAGGTTCAGTCCCACTAAGTACCCCAATACTGCATGCCTCTTATGTGACCCCTGCACCAGCAATGTGAGTGTCAGACTCAGGTCCTAAGTTGAAGAAACTTACACGCCACGTTGTGTAACACACTGCCCTGATTCCCCAGTCTTGTCAAACTCCTGATGATCTTCCCTCTCCTCTCTCCCATTCTGCACACTCACCTAGGAATCGTGATGGAAACCAGTGGGAGACGACCCAGAGCCCACCACCCTCCCAGACCCCTTTCCCACCCACAGCCTAGCGGTGTGGGACTCGCACTGTGCTCACTCCGTACAGATTAGGTCATAAAGATGACCACCTGTTTGGCCCATTCCCAGGATGTGCACACAAAACCTTGAATTGCCCATCTCACTTTAATTCTCTGCCCAAGAACAAGTTACAAAAAACCGCTTTGTTTCTCAGGATCCCTAAAATGAGCTAGGAAAGCATCCGAACACCTATCTGGTATTTCCCCCCATGACTTGACCAATTTCGTTTCATGCGTTAGGGATGAGACTTTAGATATTTGGTGTTCAGGGAAACATAAGCTTCTGGGAAAGCTCTCACCTGTCACCTCTTTTCCTGTAATCGGTTTCAGTTCTCTGCTACTCAACTCTTGGCAGAAAATTAGCTTGCTATCATGCCAAAGCTGGTGTGAAAGGAAGGGTCGCTCTTACCTCCGCTGGGCGACATGAGGTGAATGTAGAATTTGCCATCTATGACACTGTTAGGAGTGACTGGCACCAAGTGGTCCTTCCACACTTTAATCCGGTTGGAAAACCCGATGATACTGAAATGATCCCGGGGTCGCAGGTCATGGAGAATGGTGGTAAGCGCGTCCCTGGTCTGCACAAACACGAAACAGACACCGGTCGTATCTGAGCAGTTCTTCCACTTGTCCCCAGCGTGGGAACTGCCCACCAGGGACAATCTCAAGGTTCCGATTCAGCGACTCGGTTAAATGTCATCTGGCTGGAAAAGCGGCATAACTGTGTTCCAACTGAACGGAAGACACGAGTCGGTATTTAATATATAGTAGATCGCATGCTGCTACCAGCCATGTCTCCGTATCTCTGGTTGGCACACCCTGGCCTGGAGTGTTCCTCCCAACCTCCCACCCCACCTCTCATCTAACAAGCCACCAGTAATTCTTTAAGACCCAGGATAGTGGCTAAATTCTCTATTTGAAGCTTTTTCAAGTTTCTCCAAAGAGAACTGATCATTCACTGCTCTGAGCTGACCTTGTCTCAAACCCAGCCCTACTGTGAAGAGCTTGTTACAGCAATGGTGGTGTGTTTTATGTCTCTTTCCTTTATTATACTGTAAGCCCTTTACAGGTGGGTGTCTTTCATCAATCACCCAGTGACATACAGGGGGTGTCAGACAAAGGTGTAGTGACTGAATGAACAGGTATTTAATGATTTACTTAAAAAGTGTGACTAGCAAACACCATGGGAAGGGCTGGGGATTTAGCTCAGTGGTTCCACCACTGGCTTCACAAGCACAAAGACCTGGGTTTGATCCCTGGTAACAAAAACAAACCAAAAAAAAACCAAATATTATGGGAATTTAAAAAAATTTTATTTGTACATGCTTGCAGTACATAATGTTTATATTCCTGGCCAGTGATTTAGCTCAGTGGTTTCGGCGCCTGCCTCACAAGCACAAGGACTCAAGTTCAATCCCTGGTACCCAAACAAAACAAAACAAACAAACATGTTTATATTCCTTGTGTGGAACTGTGCACATACACAACACAACTTAATTCCTGAGTCATTTGTGGGAAAATGGATGCACTGTGAGACCATAATGTTAAGTGAAATAAATCAGACACATAATCTTAAATGTCGCCTGGTTTTTCTTATAAGAGAAACCCAAATTATAAATAAAGAGGAAAATAAAAGACAGATAGTAAGAAGTAGAGAGATGGATCTTTCTCAATGGGGAGGGTATCCAGGGATGAAAAAGGCGTTTTAAATATTATGAAATGACTACGGTCTTGAGTGCAGATCTTATGAAGACAGAGGAGAGTGGGTCTTAGAGGAATCTGACAACTTGAAAGACTCGGGAGAGCATGTGAAAAGTAAGATGGCTTAAGCAAAGCTAAGAGGCGACGCAGGGGAACTGGAGGGCTACTGCGCAAGAGGTGTGTGTTTAGTTAGGTCTTGTGGGAAGAAAGAAACCATAGGAAGTTGAAAAGAGGAAACCTCTAAGATCCTGGACAGGAGTTTCTCTTATAATCCACCAGATATGGTGAGAAAACACTGTCCTCCCTAAACAGCACTGCTGCTGGACGTGTAAAGAGATTCAGCAAATGGAGTTGAGGGCGTTGGTCGCTATTCCGTCCCGGAGCCTCTGCGGAGTCCTAGGCAATGAGCCGCAGCGCCCACTGTGTCTCCTGTCTCCCCCTGCTAAGTTACCCACCGGTGAAATGAGGCCAGTCATGCTGCCAACCTTATCATCTTGCCATGAAGGTTAAATCAGGTACTTCCAGACAGCCTCTGAGGACTTTCGTATCTTTCCTCAATCCTGACTCCCAACACCAAGATATGGGTCGAGGTGCGTGTGACATTTAAAAGAATCCAGGGTTGGGGATTTAGCTCAGTGGTTCCGCCACCTGCCTTGCAAGTACAGGGACCAAGTTCGATCCCCAGTACCAAAAACAAAAAACGAAAGAATCCACACCCCAAACAGGCCAGTGCTCTCAGAGAGACACGAAGGGGCTGTGATATGTTCGACCAAGTTGGCCATCCCTCCTCCTAGGACCTCTCTGGCTGTGACTTCCTGGCATACATGGGCTCCTCCCTCTGCCCAGTCACCCATGGGCTCTTCTGGTTCCCCCTTTCTGGGCCACCCCTCAACGAAACAGTCACAAAGTGAAGTTCTCAGCTAAGCTCCCCCACCCACTCTCACTGCTGTGTCCCCCAGACAAGTTTATCCCAGCACCAACCATCCGCCTCCGCTTGCTAATCTCCACTGGTCTCCAGACTGACACAGTCCTCTCACGGATCCAAATCAACCTGACAACCACGTCCCCCGGCCTGTCCTACAGCCAGCTCACACTCAAGACGCTACAAACTGGAACCGCCCTCCAGGGTCTGAGTCAGAAGCCCGGACATCGCACAGACCTGCTTCCTGCCCAATGTATCCCGGACCCCGTCCTCTTCTGCACCGCTCCTGGAATTCCACTCCTCTTCCTAAATATACCCAGACCATAATCTGAGTGGTTTGTGCTGTCGTTCTTAATGTTAAGGAATTTTATTTTCAAAAAGGTAAGAAGAAAAACAAAAAAACCCCTCATAATCCACCTACCTCCCACAACCAAAAGTTCCAGTACACCACAAACTTTCCTGTGTGTGTGTGTGCATGTGTGTGCATGGGTATACGTGTGTTTGCTTTCAAAGAAAGTGGGCTCACATTTAAGACATGACTGTCAAGTTTTTGTTTATTATCTTAAGTACAGTTTCCCGTCAATGCCCCAGTGAATGGCCCATCATTTTAACAGTGGCACTATGTTCTACTATGTGCATACACCCTATTTTAATGTTTAAGTATCTGCATAGTTAAGTGACATTGCTTTGAAGCTCATTATTCACACAACTTTGCATCCATGACTAATTCTTTATGATAAATTCCCATACAGGAGCCAGGCTTGGTGGTGCATGCCTGTAACCCCAGCACTCAGGAGGCTGAGGCAGGAGGATCACTGTGAGTTCAAGAGCAGCCTGGGCTACAATATGAGTTCCAGTTCCATCTCAACTACATAGTAAG